GGAGGGGTTGCTATGAGTGAGATCTGACCGGACAGCAAATTTTCTAATGTTTATTATTTTAATTGTCTGGAGATCGTAGTTTCCTTATTGGTGTTCTGAAATAAAAGTCATGTTTCATTCAAGGTTTAAGTCCTCTGGCCTGACAGTGAAGACTTTAGATCTCCCTGCCATACATATGCCATGCAAGTCATGAAATGTCCCTGTGCCTTAAATTTCCTTGGATGTCAAGTGAGGATAATATCCATCTAGCCTACTTTTCAGGATTATTGTGATGTCAAATGACTGGCATGATATCAAGTCTATAGTGCAACGCAAAAAATAAAACAGCATTAGAGGTAATGAGGAATGTGTGCATCTAAAACCAAAAGATCCAGAAGGCATGTTTGAAGTTCATGTTGCTATACTCCAGGGATGTCATGGGACATCTGGCACCAACAGAAGAATGGAATTCCAGAAAGGAGAGGTTGATGGATCCTGAAGACAAACTTGGCTGTTTCACAACATATACACCTATATTAATTTCATGCTCTGAAAAAACTATTGCGGGTTGAACTATGTCCCCCTAAAGATATATTCAAGTTCTAAATCCTGGTACTTATGAATTTAATCTTATTTGGAAATATATCTTTGTAGATGCAAACAAATTAAGATAAGATCATACTGGGGCCCTACCTAATTCAGTGACTGGTGTCCTTACAACAAGATAGAAATTTGGACACAGATACAGTCACCATGTGACTATGGAGGCAGAGACTGGAGTGATTCATCCACAAGCCAAGGAAGAGCAAGGATTGCAACCACCAGAAAGTATCCTTCCCCAGAGACTTCAGAGAGAACATGTTGTCTTAAGCCATCCAAGTTTGTGATAATTTGTTATGGTATCCCTAGGAAACTAATACAACCATCACAATTCTGCTTCTACAGGATGAATCCTGTTTGCTATCCCCAGTTTTTCCAGAATATTATTCTGAGCTGGCTGTTCTTCATTTAATAACCATAGCACTAGAAGTGCATCTTGTGTTAGATATATTCTATCTTTGTGTACACACATATACACTGGTAACTATATCAACAAGGCAGACTTGGGAATGTTGAGATTACTGAAAATAGTCATTTTTCTAGACAATTCCATTCTCCCAGGAAAGAGCAGCCAGCCAGGAACAGTGTCCATAAGATCTCTTAGCTCAGGCCTTCTGGATTTTAACTCATATTTGTCTAATTTCAAAGCCTATTCATATGCTTTCAACTATGCTATACTCTATTACGAGATAAGAACGTTAAAGTTCAGAATAAAGGAACTAGAAACTAGAGCTTCCAATAGCCATAAAGGCAAATGCCTAAATAAGCTTTCTAACTTAACTTTTGTTTGACAAAATATTAATCTGGACATAATTTTCCTTTAAATATGAAATTAATTTCTCCTCAGACCAACTGTCATTGATGGCAACTAAAAAGACTGTATGATATATATATATATGTAAATATGTGTATATATATATGCACATATACATACATACATAGATATGTGTGTATATATGTGTGTGTGTGTGTATATATATGAGTCGGGGCCGACTCGATGGCAAATAACAACAACAACAAATATATATATATACGGGAGCTCTGGTAGCATAGTGGCTAAGACACTTGACTGCTAACCAGAAGGCTGGCGGTTCAAACCCACCAGCCACTCCTCGGAAGGAAGATTGGGCAATCCTACTTCTGTAGTGATACTGCCTCGGAAACCCAAGGAGGGGTCGCTATGAGTCGGGGCCGACTCGATGGCACATAACAACAACAACAATATATATATACACATATACATATATATCACACACACACATTGCATAACTTCCATTCAGGCAACATCCTACCACATATATCTATGTGGTCCCAACCCCTTGTAAAGCCTATTATACTAAAAATCCAAGGCACATACAATGGTTCATAATAACAAATGGGTACTACTTTGTGATATGCATCAAAACATTATTATTACTGTATTATTATATTAAACTATGTTCTAGACACTAGTGTATTAAAGAGGTTTCTTTAATGGTTTTTATGCATAGAAATGGACACTATATACTAAGGCAAATATGTGACTGATGTTAAAAGCATACCTAACTGTTCTGACTTAACATGCAAATTCTATTTAAAGACAGACTTAGGAATGGAATTCATTCATAATCGGGGGACTTCCCATTTATAATATGGTGTTCGTATCTTTGTAAAAGCACCAAGGGCCAAACATTTACACTAGGTAGATACACTCCTTGGAGGGATCACTCCTGGGAGAATATAAAGGCTATGTATGCACAGGGAGACAGCTCAGGTGGCAGGAGTGCGTGGAGGGAAGGACACAGGGAAGAGGTAACTATAGGAAGGAAGTGGGAGGGGAGCTGTTACATTGTGGGAAATTGCAATCAAATCATAAGACAAAGTATATGTGAGCTGCTGTATGGAAAATGAACTTTCACCCAAATCACAATTAAAAAAAAAATAATAAAAGCATCAAGGGCCAATAGGGTGGTAAGAGAAAAACAGGCAAAAACCTATAAAAAGGCAAGAGTGGCACACTGAGTTGCAATGTCTAAATAATAACGAACTTGCCTCCTCTCTTAGCAACAAACTATGCAGGGAAGTCGAGGATGGCCAGGGGTCTAATTTTTATGTAGAGCTTGGGAAGCAGTTGAGCTTTCTGAACAGAAAAAGAAATTGAGAAAATGGAGGGTCACATGTTATCCTGATAAAATGCATACTGTGCATGCTGCTGGCTCATGCCCTAGCCTTCTGCAAGAGCTACATGATGGGGAGGAAGATAAGACTTCCCGGTAACAGTGCAGGAGCACTAGGTAACATTGCACAGGTTTTCTACCACTACAGCCCTTAATTCACACTAGGGTTGCTTTCCAGAGTCACAATCCCCCCTTTTTTCCCAGCAGAAAACTTACCTGATTCATATTTGTTAAAACTAGCTCAGTATGTATTTCTATTTTCATGTCAAATACTGGTGCAAAAAGACTTGTTGGCCTCCAAAGTTATTGGAAGAGTGTTGCTAAAGAAGTAAACTGATGATTGTTAAAACTTGCACAGTCTGATGTTAAACATAAGATGGTTTGTAATTGTTAGTAAATAGCTCACATAAAATATACTTTTGGTTGTTATTGTTCATGTGGAAACTCCTTGGTATTCTTTTCCCTCTTAATCAGATTCACAATCCACCTCAGACATAAGAAAGCCTGGCTGTCATGGAATCAGCAGTCAAGATGCCAAAATGACAGATAATATGGCGAAGAATTCATATATGGGAGTTGCTAACTTGGGCAAGGATGATGGGAAGGTCGTGCAAACAAATGCTTTATAGTGTCTGCTAAATTCTGTCTTGGAATCCAGCATCCCTAAGTTTAACAATCAGATAACAGAATGATAAAAGTTTTGTTGTGGAAGTCTATAAACCAAACCAAATGTACTGCCATGGAGTCAGATCCAACTCATGGCGACCCCTCCTTGGGTTTCCAAGGAGGTATCACTACGGAACCACATTGCCCAACCTTCCTTCTGAGGAGTAGCTGATGGGTTTGAACCATCAGTCTTCTGGTTAGCAGTCAAATGCCTTAGGCACTATGCTACCAGAGAGATTTCTTAATTGTGGCAGTTAAGGGTACAGGCTTTGGTGACCTGGTTAATAACTGGCCTCAGTGTGTCCTTGGGCAAGTTACTTAACTTTGAACTACATGGATAAAATAAGGATAATGCTTCCCTTCTCATAGGTTGTTGTTGTTGTTGT